CCATCAAGACACGAAGTCGGCTCTTAGCATGCTTATATTTTTTTGCACTCCTTTTTTGTAAATGAAGCATAATGTGCTGTCTTTAAAAAGGGTTGAGTAATAAGGGCAAAAGAGAACAGTATAATATAGCAAGACAGGGTCAGGGGCAGACGGGGAAAAGGGAAGACGAAAAGAAGTTTCAAAGAACGCACATACATAATATCCCGCAATTCTCTTTTCTTATTTTTCAAATTCTATACCCTCCTTATAGTAGAGGTGTTTTATTTGTTTTTGCTCCCGGCTAGGAGATAAGATCGAACTCGTTGCAAGTGTTCTTTGCATGGCCGAACTGCGTTCCCACCCTGTCCCTGGTGCTTGGCCGTTATATATAATAATATATATGCCGGGACTTGGTTTCAATATACCTCTGGGAACTGACGACTCGCCCGATAAAACGGGAGGATGTTCGAGTCACTAGCCCGATATCTGGGGATGATGGGCAAGATTAAGCTCCGAACCCATCATCCGCGTTGGACTAACGGCAACGTTTTTCTTGGTGCCATTTCGGCCTGTGCCGGGTGCACCAGCCTTGGGGGATATCGTCAGTCTTAATACTCCTGTCCCCAAGGGCATGGTTCTGTGGACTCACGGCACTGATGATGGGTTCCTGGAACCGTCAGAAGTCTTGGGGTCATGAGCCTAGCCATTGCATATTCGACGTCCGTTGCCAGTCTGGTCTTCCCATCCTTCGTCTTGCTTTCTTTTATCGCCATCATCTGTTTCATCTCTATGGCCACTCTTTTGTCCTTTATGTGCAGTTTTCTTTCTCCATCGTCAAACTAAACGTCTTCCTTGGACTCTTACTAAGCAGGCATGACTAATATCCTCCTTCCCGAAAAAGATTCCAAATATCTACTGGCTTGGCAGGTCCAAATACGGACAAGCGCCTTTTCTTTTTCTTTTTTTATTAGTTTTTCTTTTTCTTTTTTTTTCTCTTCTTTAAACACACGACGTATGAGATCAACTTCCTCGCCGAACAACTCGTGCAAAACGGAAGAAAAGGTGAGGGCAGAAGGAGAACGATGCCTGCAGTGGCGCTGATGCCTGCACGATCGCCGTGCGCTGGAGCCTCGCTTAAGGAGCCGTTATCGAGATCGACGGATCCACAGCCGAACGTTACATCGTTTCTCCCACAATTACCAGAGTGCTATCTTCTGCACACGACGGCACCAGCGTGGATGTTGTACATGCTCTAGACAAATGTATGTCATTACTTACGGAGAGCCTAACCGCCTCGTATCTCATGGAACTAGTCTGTCCATCAGTGCCTATATTTATACACGTCCTCCGTACTACATATGTATATATGGAGTAAATATGGAGATATATACTACAAGAGGCTGTGGGAGCTTTCCTTCACGGTGGAGAAGCTATCCGTCTCATTGGCGCCTGCACCCCCGTACTATGTATGCGGTTCAATCGTACTAAGAACTACCAGATGTTTTAACATATTCTTCTTACTTCTGACGGACAGATACATACTATGTACGGAGTATATGGAGCTCACTCTTGATGGGCTAGGCTGTGCGCTTAGATCGCTCAAAATCACCTTTTGGGGACAAGTACGGAGTATGGGTCTTGAGAATATCCAGAACACCATGCATGGACGATCAAGAAGCTGGTGGAGTTTGCGACATTCTCCCAGTTCTTCGCTTCTTCCTTTTTCTTCTGTTTTTTTATTTTCGTGTTGGCAAAACGGGCATGTCAAAAGGCTCGGGGTGGAGAGTTGATCATGGGTTAGAGCTGACTGCCTAGGGGGAAGGGGATATATGAAAGTGAAGGAGAAGGGCGAGACAGTGGGGGTACACCCAATGTTCCAAAGGTAAATATACTCATGTTAGCCTTTCCGTGGTGCATTGAATATTCATCTGGTTACCCAATTCGTTCTCTCTACCAGTATACCAACGCGGCTGGCTGGCTTATAAATTCTTACTTAACATAACCGAACGTTATAGGTACTATGTATGCAAAACCTCCCCATGTTTAAGTAAACTCAGCCAGGACTGAAACGTTAATAAGAACTAGGTATACCTCTCCCGAAAGCCAAAAGGACCTTCCCCCCTACGTTGTTAATATGGGTTCTCCATGTACCAGCGCACATTGACGGATGTATATTGCCCGACCGGGAAGGCCAGCTGCTCTTGGTAACCAATTATATCCTGGACGGGCCCGTCTTTTTTTCCCATTTCTCAATTTTGAGGTGCATCACTTATTGCCATGGATAAAATCGATATTGAATCTGATAAAATTAGATTAATCAATTGGCTGCTGAGACCCAGCCATCTGGGTGCCCTTCATTCGCCTACATAGTATGCGCCCATCTTTTGGGACATATCACATTGAGGTTTACTCGTGTATATATATAACATCGGTATATATATATATGTTTTGGGTCTCGGCTGATGACAATGATCCTCTTTCCCCCCTATTTTTATTCTCATGCCTTTTCAGCTGAAGATGGTTTCATACATGTATCTCAAGGCTAACAAGGCTAATAGATAGTTAGTATCTATTGTTAGGAGAGATGAGGATACTGCATTGGTTGTTCCCTGCGGCTGGGTCTTGAAGTGAGACAACTCACATACGAAGGTACCAGCATTATGGATGGCGGTATTAAGGGTGGAGATCGATCCTATTTTCTTTGCTGGACATGACAGCTTTGACGGCCTTTTTTTCTTGCACGTTCACTGTCGTTTTGACTACAGCTTGACGGAGGACGCAAGGATTGCCGGCTCAGGCGAGAAATGTTGCCTCAGCGATGCGGAAGTCGATGTTGTACAGAACCCACTGCCAACAACATCCAACATCCAACCAGCTAGAACACTCTACCTCTATTTTTCCTTCTAAACCACCATACTGTTACCAACAATCTAAATGCAGCGTCTCCTTGCACATGTATGACGTGCAGCATTGTTAAGAGAGATACGAGGACATGCGCGATGGACCTTGGAACGATGCGGATGACTCTCATTGATGTTTCCGGCTAAGCCTGATCAGATCTGCCAGAGCCAAAGCAGGTACCCAGCACATCCCTTCGCTGATGGAAAAAAAAAAAAATTCTCCCAATGAGGATCCATTCCCAGGCTCTTCGTCTCGTTGGTCGCCTTGTTTTGATCCGTGTGGCGGACGGTGACACCGTCAAAAAGAACTCACGTACGACTGATTGGAAACGTCAAACACACCTTTCCCTTCCCTTCCCTTCCATAGGAGATCACGAGAGGCGAATATGTGCTCAATACTGTGAAACCAGTGCGGAAGAGGTCATCAATTGGTAGAGGGATTAGCATACGTTTGTACGATGGACGTATCTTTCTTCCATCATGTTTGATTTTTAGCAGCCTCCACATCGGGGCGTTTTTATCTGGTTCAACTTCTAGTTCTGGTTCTAGTATCTCGATACTTTTATCCAGCTGGGAATCGACCCAGTTCTGGCTCCAGATACAGCCCCAGAATTTGAACCTACGTACTCTGTGCAGTTGGCAACAGAGTTATTGGTTTCACTCTGCTCCATAAGAGGAGAAAGGAAGACAACAAGGTGATAGAAGACAGGGAAGAGGGCGTTGCACAATTCCATAAGCATACAGCTAGTGGTACCCAATCATCACTGTCAACAATATGCAAACTCCATCAAAAACCTCTCATGTGTGTAAATGCATACATACACACGACTATCTAAACCAGGATAATAGGAAACCGCCCCTCTAACCCCCGCTGCCATCAACCATGGCTGCGAGAGAGCCGTGTCATGTCTGGGGGAAGAGTTGGATGAGGAGACCATTACCAGCCCAGGCAGTGCCTTTTAGTTTTGAATGTAACGAATTGGATACCATCAAAAGTCAACGTAGCAGAAACAAGTGATATCTTCTTCGGAGGCAAGGCAAGATGGCAACGGGACGGGATCTGCTCATGTTGCCATCAAGATAGGTATACACATGATCACGTCAATCATCTGGACCGTTCTCGTTCTGTGGCCAGGAACTCGAGTATGGCATGGTAGCAGGATCAAAAACAGAAACTGGCTTGGTTTCTGTTTTGTTTCGTTGCTCACCGTGATCGCCTTCCTGGCCCTGTCCATGTCTTACTTTTATGCCGATAGTCACTTGAGCACTCCGACCCTCTTTCATTCGAACTAGTCAACAAACTACTTCGTACTACGAAAGTCCGATGATGGGATATCCCCGATTGACGGGACGTTCATATCGATACCAGTTGACCCATTCGCCAGGGGATTAGCACAGAGCACAGCCGCTCCATCATCAACACTCCTGGACATCCACCCACGGGGAAAACGTTTTTTTTACTTACCCTTCTCTTCCAGTGGGCCACCATTAGCTTCGTCTTAATTGACCTTTTTATTGGGTCCTTGCTTCGATTCCTTCTCCTTTAGTTGGCCGAGCTTCTTCTTCATTTTTGCCCCGTCCGAACTTGAAGCCAATTAATCCATAATTCAGCCTTTTAGGCTTCAATAAGCGAGTTGAGCTGAGGGCTCTCTAATGTATAAGCAGGCAGTATTATGTATACGTAAATAGTACCAAAGAGAAGCCAGGTGAAAGAAAGACGACGGATGCGTTAACTTGGTGGACACTCACACTAGCCCGACTTCCCCCCTTAAACCCATCCCAGCTCCACAAATTACATTCAATATCAAATGGTCAACGTCCAATGGCAAGCGAATAACTAGGGTAGGCGATTTACCAGCATCCTTTTACATACCTCCCCCTATCAGCCCTTCTTAGATCGCACTAGGATCTGTGTTTTCCGTTCCCTCGGTTTCTCGAGTTTTGGGGCTCCTCTCTCTTTTGCCCACCCCGTTGTTTAGCCGTGCTATGCGCCGAACGAAGGATGTGACTTTTGGAAACAAGCCACATAAAACCACCTCATCAGTTCTGTTTCCACGGCTCTAGTTTAGTGACTATATCTAGTTCCTCAATTTGCACTTTCGGCTGAGAAGGTGAAAGACGTCATACACCTCCGTCTTTGAGCGTTTGCCACCCGGATGCATCCCCCGAAGACGCACTATCACTTCGATACGGCGTTGATGATGGGGAACGGAGGCTTTGGGCATGGGAGCCTGCCCCTTGCTGCATCGCTTTTATTTTTGACATTGATGAATGATCTTTCACCCCTGAACTTTTCTCCATGTATACCTTCTGCTCGGTAGTTTTGAAACGGCGAGAGAGCCGGAATACTCCGTATTCATACTCGTATGCACCATGTCGCCGTTTATTGCGAAGCGATTGACCGAAATGCGTGACGACATCGATATCGGCAAGCCCACCACACACAGTCTGTCGACTCAGTTGCGATTCATATCGTGGCAGGCGATCTGATCGTGGCTTAGTGACTGGGCCACCAATCAGTCTATTCGCCAGGTGCCTTTGGAGATAAGTCACCCCAAACAGTTCCATCATGCTGTGAAGCCGATATCCAATTGTAAAGGGATGTGGTAATCTTCCTCCCTTCGCCGCTATATTTCGGCCATCAATCTCCCTAGCACAGGGCGTGGTCAAGGGATGGGGAATTGCTCATTGCCATTCAATGTATTGGCCTATACCCTAAATTGAATTTCAATTGGTTTCCCCCCCCCCAACGCAAGCCAAATAGCCCTGGCCAAGGAGGGAGAAGAGTAACAGCCGGCTGTCCATAAGTCTGACCATCGTCTCCGGACTGATATGTGATGATGGTGGAAAGCACATGCCTATGTCGAGTATCTTTGGGCTGCTTTTCTTTATCATGCCAGCCGTGCATGCAGTTCATGCATGCTTTGGCTTCATTCCCAGAAAATGTGGTCGACACATGTAATCAATCCTCCAAGGGGGCCGTCTTCAGGCTCTGGCGTTTGCCGTTGCCCATGCAGGCGATGCAGGGTTCGTCCGAAAACATAAATCATTTTGCTGCAGTTCTCATCTCTGCAGTTTCATTCGCTGAGTACGACAAAAGGAACAGTCTCTTGGAGCTGACTTCTCAAGGAGGCAAGAAGCGGGAAATATTACCCTGGTAAACCCCTGACCGGACGTGCTATGAGGCAAACGGCTACAGTTGGGGATGAGACATTAGGAAAAGCCGGGTAGGGCCAGTCTGCCTTTCATGCGCGATGGTTGCAGGGACATGGACATTGGAAAAAGCTACCTTGCTGCCAATGATATGCCAGCAAGGTCTCTGGCCAACAAACGCATAAACCTCAGACCTACCATTGGGTGTCTGCAGGGCGATTTATTCAACCCAGCTCAATCGTGTCTCCCTATAGCGTGCCTGGTTGCCCTGGTGGTGTGGAAAGGCCATTTGTACGTATCCAATTCGATACCCCGTCCAGTTGTACCAGTTAGAGGGTAGTATTATTGTCTTTGTTTTGTTTGACCTGGCTCAGACAGCCATTTCTTTTTACCCAGCTTCGCCTTCTCTCAGTGTATACGAGAAGCATGGTCAATATGTATGGACGGGGCAGAATACCTATCTTGATATGAACCATCCAGTATGACGAGCGGCTTGGAGGGATAGGCAGAACGGTATACACCCCTTTTTCATCGCATGTTGGTTGTATATCACTCAGAGAAGGTGGCTCATGGTTTATCTTGGCTGGTAGATTAGTACATGTTTGCCTGCAAATTCATGAAGTACCTATGTATCATAGGTTCCCCGTTATATTTACCATAATATATATGTTTTGGAGGACAGCCAGCAGACAGAGAGCCACATATCTTATGCATGCACCATTGCCACGAAATGCAGTCGGATGGGTGGTATACCATATCATCCCACACATATGTGTGTGTGTGTTTCTTTCGTGGCTGTATTGCCAAATGCGCAGTTACCTAGCAAATCACCAACCGGATGGCTTTTATCCAGACTGATAGTATTCCGCTGCATCTTGCAATAATGGAAGCAGGCCCGGGGCCATACAGAGAAATGTATACTTTAAACAGTGTGGACTTCGTTATTATTTTTATTTCTGGCTGTGGTAGGGCATTAATGCATACACGACATTTGAGGTCGACGGCTTAGCTGGGGAGATATAAGCGGGCAGTGCAGACGGTTGCCGGCTATTTCAATATTCCTATGAAAGTGCATCTTCTTTATTTGCAAGATTGGATCCGGGTAGTTATGTCCTAATGTTGCTGTTGCTAAAATGAATACACTGAATACACCGAAGTACATTGATCACTTATGGTTTTCAAACAGGTCGTAGAATTGGTTATGTCTGATAGTACATGGAGTGTTGTGCCCCTTGAGGCAAGGGGACCGTTGCCCGCAAGATAAAAGACAATTGAAACAGTATGAAGTGAAAAAATATAACCGCTGATTTATACATGACAAGAGGAATAAAAAAATTCGGTTGGGGGAATAGCAGCAGAAACAACAATTAACAATGCTGTAGTGGTATATTTGCTAAAATCGCCTGAAATGAATCCCAAACAAATCTATACAAAGGGCAGAAATAAAAATCATCGGGATAGATTGCTGAATTGGAAAGAAAGGAGACGGATGCTAATAAATGTTTCCGCTGTGCAGAAAGCCAAGTCGCTACAAGGGCGCGGGAGGTATCAAATGGGGGGAGGGAAATCAAGTACATGATGGTCATATCACAGGAGCCCGTAAAGGCCGTATAACGAAGCGGGAATATAGCAGTAATTAGGACACCCATAAGGATAACAAAGTACGAAAACTGCTCATAAAAGCCGAATAAACAGACTTGGTATCGCTCCAGGTCATTTCAACAGATAGAAAAAAAAGGAAAGGGGAATTATAGATCGGTGATCAGAAAGTAAGATCCAAAAACAGGGGGGAGATCAAAACACAAAAAGAAGGGGGGGGGGGGAAAGACAATCATGAAAATACACCCATCATAGCCATATATCCTTCTCCTCTCCTTGAACCCAATTCGCCCAAACCTTCTCGTACGCCTCTTCCAAATCATTGACCCATCTTCGGGTATCAAACAGTTTACTTTCCCATCGATTCAAGTAAAGCATTTTCCGAAGTTCAAATAATCGGCCACTTGCCCTGCCTTGGTTGTTGCCAAGTTCGTACTTCATCCCCAAACCTAGTTCAATCGCAGTTTGTTCATATTCAGCCTCTGAGGAAGAGATCAACTGCCTCGCGGCTTGTTTGCCGTCTTCCGTCTGTGGAAGTGCACTGGTTAAAATACTAGATGCCATGCGAGAGCACATCTTGTACTTATATCGTGGAAAAGTGAGGAGTGGTGTGCCACTCCAGAGAACATCCGCCGCTGTGGTGTGAGCATTGCATTCTGGCGTGTCTAGGAAGAGGTCACAAATCCGAGCACGGGAAATGTGAGCATGCTTTGGTGCAACGTCGGTGAATATGATTCTAGATGCAGTTGCTTCACCAGCCCAAGCCTTGGCTGTCTGTCGGAGATTTTGTTCCCCAACGTCAGGGAAGCGAAGAAGCCAGAGTATTGCGTTAGGAATACCGGCCAAAATCCTTAACCAGGTGCGGAATGTTGTGGGTTCAATCTAAAAATTCATTATTAATATCAATCGATAGTTGCCCGAACATGTCAGTTACTTTCACACATACCTTGTACAGTTGATTGAAGTTTCCCAGAATCACTGTGTCATCCTTGAGATCTGGGAATAACTCCTTGCGCATCTTCCATCTATTCGCTTGCTCTTCTTCCCATGTCAACCTTGGCCCACGGGCATCAGGGGCACTCTGTCTGTGATCGCAGCAAAAGAAAGTATGCTTGGTATACACGATTTTTTCATTGTATATCCAGTCATCTGCTTCTTCGTTATGATCGGCATCATACAGTCGATCCTCTATTCTCGGAGTCTGCCCTCGAGGGGCCAGCGTACTTGGTGGAATGGACAGTTCATCTGCTAGGATATAATCAGACCATTCAGCACCTAATGACCCGGCAAATCCCATGAATGACATGTGTATAGGCGCCGGTCGAGCTGCAAACACCTCGTTTCGTGCACCACGTGTGTATCCGTTCAGGTTGACAAGTATATGAACACCGTCCCTGACAATCTGATCTACTAGACGATCAACAGACCAACTGCTAACGTCACGGAAGACAGGGGCTTCACGTTGAATTTGTTGACGGTGGATAGAGTTGTCACTGGCTGATGTTGCATAACAGATCGCTTTTACACGACTTGGGTTATGGAGGCCAAAGACAGACTGCATAAGGTGAGCCAGAGGGTGGTTGTTGAAATCAGATGAGACGTATCCAACGATGATTTGAGGATTTGGAGGAGCTGGAGGTTGATATACCGTAGCAGGAAGCCATGGAGAACGAAGTGTGGAACAGGAGATACGTAGGCCATTACGCTGGGAAATATGGCGAATTTGCTTTGCGGATAGCGGGCAGGTAAAGGTATGGAAAGGCAAGACGGTTGGTGCACTGGGCGGGGCGAGTGCGCCTGGGAAATGAGGGCGGGAATACCTCGAGGCCGGATATTCTCTGTGATGTACATATCGATCTTGATACCATTGCCAACCAATATATTTCACCATTCGTTCGATGAGCCGAACTGTCCGCGAACCCTCCCATTTCTTTCCTGACCAGGAACGTAATATGGAATTCAAAGTTGTTCGTCTGCTCATTGCATCCCTGCTGTTACTAGATGGCGACATGAGGGCTGAGCATAGCTGGTCTGGTGTTAGGTTTTGAAGAGTGCCACAGCCCCAAAGCTCACCGTCCTTCAGCTGTTTGTCCACAATATCAACAACTCGTTTAATCCATCCCGTATCAACTGCCATTTCTTTTGCGTCACGTAGCCGACCTTGGTCATCAACATGCCACAAATCCCTGATACCTCGGCGAGGAGATATGCCTCCTCTACCTCCCCAGTTGCAAACAGAATTCAACGCATTTGCTAAGCCACACACTGCTTCAGCAAAATCGGGATTGGCATTCACAGCTCGTCGATAGTATCCAATGGCATCGTTGATCCTGCCAGAATCTTTTACGGCATTTGCGAGGTTTGCCAGCGCAATATCAAACTTACTGTCGCATTGTACCGCCTGTTCGTACATCTTGATCGCAGCAGGCAACTGGCCGATATCTTTAAGAAGGCTCCCTAGATTGGTGTACAGATGAGCATGCCTTGAATCAAGGGTGAGGCCGTAGTTGTAGTAAGCTAAAGCGAGGGCAATGCCACTGCCCGGGCTGACTCCAGGAATTTCTGGAATCTGATATTCGCCTGCCGTGCGAATAGATTTGGCAGCAGTTCCTTGAATTCCAGCAAGAAGGATTCCAACATTATTTGCTGTTGACGGACTGGGTTGGAGTGAAAGTGATAGATAGTATAATGCAAGAATATCTCGCACACCTGGAGTGCTTCTCAGGGTTCCATTTGGAGAAGCCGATGACATGCCGTCTTGGTATATCTTCGCAAGGGAAAGTAGTGAGTTGCTAGTTGTAGAAATTGCAGCCCTTTTGGCCAGGCCCTCTGGGAGATACTGAAGACCAGGTAAAGTTCCATGCGGATGGAACACTAACTTCGCTGTTTGCAGGGCCTTGTCCGGGAAGAGCAAAACGGTTTCCTTAGAGTCGTATTGTCGAGTGGTAGGTAGTCCATGTCTATCCTCGTCGCCAAAAGATGAAAGGATATGACGGATAAGACTCTTCATTCCATGTCGTTTACTTGTGCTAATGAGGATAGCTTCCTCAAAAGCTCCTGCAGCAGCAGCATTATCTCCAAGGGCATAAAGCATGTTCCCCTTAGCATGTATAAGACCAAGAATTCTGCCATTATCCGCGCCAGGTATAGCATAGCCGCTCGAGCCAAAACCAGGGGTAGATTGGTCAGATCCACGACGAGCGAATGCGAGAGGGCTTTGGACGCTATCGGCGTAATCGAACGCCATTTTGTCCGCAGATTCTATAGTGGATACGCTGGACTCCCTGTCTTCTGACTCTGTATCGGAATGGTCGCATCCACGATTCGACTTGAAATAGTCGCCACTTGGGGGTAATCGTAAAGCATTCTCAACGTATTGAACAATATTGACTGCTTCTTTGCCTCGTTGACTGCTACATAACAGTCCGATGAGATGTTCAACAGCATCAAAGTAACTTGGCCGTAGTTTTATGGCACGCAACCACTGCTGTAGAGCCTCTTCGCGTCGTTCCAAAGCAAGAAGAGAAGCGGCTAGGTTAGATATTGCCTCAACATGTCTATTTTTTTGATATATGGTTAGTTCGTATACTATAGTTTTGTGTCTAAGCCTGAACAATACTTACGAAGCATCTTGATTTATAACCCGGTTATACCAGCGCATGGCTCGGTTATAATCACCTAGACCATAAGCAAGACAGCCACCAACGAGCATCCCATCAACCCATGTCCAGCCACTCTCTTTACATAGAGTAGCAAGCATTTCCAAAGCAGATACTGCCTTTTCTGATATTGACATGGCCTCATGTGTGGGGCTGAACAGGCGTGACATGGAAGCTCCATGACTACGTCGAATCGTCCGATACCCGTTCATTGACATATCAGTAGACATTCGTTGATCGAAAAGTTGGTTCACATGCCTCAACTGGTTATGTTGAGCAGATCCGTCTATGGACGGGAATGACCGGTGGGCAGGATGTCTCTTTGCATCGAAAAACCCACCCATGGATGGATCAAGATGCATAGAATGGCTTCGTTGCGGATGCATACTTATGGGCTGAACATGCGGGCCGAGATTCCTAGGTTTTCTGGCCATGTTATGTGAATGTGAGAAGTCGGACATTGGCTGTCGTGGCGGTTTGGGATATATGCTAGGCTTGAGAGCCTCCCGAGAGTGAGCTTCTATACCTCCTTGGCTCGCTTTCTTTCTAGCATTGTGTAGCGATGCAAGCAGGTCGACATAAACGCTATGAGCCCAGGAGAGAGTCTTTTCCTTAAATTCAGAATTCCTCGGTGACCTGGCAGTTTCTGGTGTCGAAGAAGGTAGGCTACTATATGGGGGCTGTTGCCAGCGTAAAGGATCGACCGAATCTAAAGGGTGAACATCATGGTTCGCAGGCAGTGACGGTCCATACTGCAGTTGGTGTTGATCCCAGATTTGATCTGGGGCTTTTTGAGGAATATGACTGGGACCATAATGTTGTTGAGGTCTTGAGAGGTCGTGAGCATAGACTTGCTGTTGCTGATGCCCATTTATACTCGACTGGGCCGGAAGTGGATTCCAGGAAAAGCCTGGTGCGAGGAGTTCGGAAGGGGGGAGAGACTGTCTGTTAAAAAGTGATTGTGGGTCGGCAAAGCGATTGTTGTTATGTAGTGAGTGCTGTCCTATGGACGGTGTTGATTGATATCTAGTCTCTCCAAACGCAGAAGGCCGATATGGTGGCATATAAGGTCCATCAGGCCAGTATTGGCCGTACTGCGTTGCAGCGGCAGAGTCAGGGACCCCAAGGCCGGGCTGAAAAGAAGAAGCAAGTACTGTCGGTACTGTGGGCAAATTTTGCCAGTAATTATACCTCTGCTCTGCGGAAAGGCCATCTGTCTGATTTAAAACCGAGTCAATGCTGCTTTGGGGGTGATTTAGAGACCCAATCCAGTTAGTGTTTGGTAATTCTTGAGGTATACCGTTATGTACGGTATTTATTCTATTGGCATCTTGCTTAAACGCGGGAGGAAAATTTTGATGCTGAGAGAGAGGTAGAGGTTCGACAGGTTTGAAATGTTGTAGAGGATCTAGAGAGAGGCCAGATTGCGGCAGTATTTGGCTATTATCGAGCGAAGAAACGAGGATGTGCTTGGTGGCAGGCTGTTGGATAGATTTATCTCCAGGAGTTGCATCGTAACCAGCAGCGAGGGTACCATTGGGGGTTTTCCGCCGTAAAGTGTGCTCTAGCGAGGCAGAGGTGCCATGTAACCTGCCGTCCGGTAGGCGGTGTATATCTGGCCGCTGAATCGGTCGCGAGCAATGCGTCCTACTTCCTCTAAGTAGAGAAGATTGCCCGTACTGTGAAAGTTGCAAGTCATCTTGGAAGGTGTGTATGTTGTGTCCGTGAAGGTCGTAAGAGATATCGGGGGAGTAAAGGGATTGAGTATGGCGGTGCGGTAGGAACTGAAGAGGCTGATGTGCCACGGACGGCAGCATCTTGAATGCTTCCGCCTGAAACGAGCGTCTTCCCTTCTCCTATCTATTGTCGTGTTTTTATTAATGTATAATAAAAAAAAGTACTACTTCTGGTGAAGCGACAGTTCTTCATCAACCAAGCAATCTTCTTGTTCGTTTTCGAGGCCGCATCACGGGCACGTAGGACTTCTGGCAAGTCTGAAGTAGATTGACGCCGAATAATATGTGTATTTGGCTACGGGGGGCACAGCCCTGCGTGAACCGGTAGGATTAATGGGTGATTACCGTCCGGCTCAGCCGCACGAGATAAAAGGATGGTGAGTGCCTGGAGCCGTAAATGATCAGTACACATTCAGACCGTTATTCCAACCTGTCAGCGGGACAGAGAATAGTGCGAGTGTCGAGCTTGTTTTCTGTTATTATTCTCGTGCGGTTTGGCGGTTGAAGAAGTTCGTCGTCTCTTTTTTTCCCTTGGAGGTTGAAAAGAGAAGAAAAAGCCAAAAACTCCAGGGCGGTGAGGGACGGCGTAAAAAAAAAAAGGAAGCAAGACGACTAAAGCACAAAGTAGACAACAACACGAAGAAGAAAGAATGAAAATCCCCGGTTAAAGGGCATCAAGCTCTTTCGTTGATCGTGTGGTCTGGAGTGACTTACTTGCAGGTGGGAGGTTTATGGCACTCGCGACAAAAAGCACTAAATTCCTGGCTGGGTTGAAGCCTGCCCTGGCGGCGATGGTGGAGACATATGAGGTCAGGCCAGGAGGTTTCAAGAGATCGGGAACAGACGCCACACAGTAGTTGGTCTGACGGGGTACGGAAGAACAGGAACGAGAGCAGAAAAGGTCGGCTGGGGAGAGTAGCAGGACGACAGAGAAACAGAGGCAGAAGCAGTATAAAGGAGAGAGAGAGGGAGGGAGGGAAGAGAGGAGAAGAGGAAGAGCAAGGCAAATTGAAGAAAGGAAGATCTGTTTTCAACTGGAGATGGATGTTAGCCGCTAGGGCGAGCCAGGTCCACACCAACACGGCAAGCGTATGCTTAACGCCAACTCTATAGCCTGGAAGAAAGAAAGGCAAAAAGGCAGCGAGGGAGGAGAGAGGGACAGAGGAAGAAAAAGCAGAAGGATGGGAAAGAGGGAATATCTCTAGGATAGCCTTCCAGTGACAACACTACAAGCACGATGCAAGACGATTTGAACCACTCATCACAGATTTGGATGCAGTTGGAATCGAAGCAGTTGGACCAGCAGCCAAGCAACGCGGCGGGCTTAGGCGATCGCAGCAAAGAAAAAAAAACGCCCATCAACATGCTCCTTGATGGGGCTATTATCAGAGGCATGGGGAGGGAGGGTCGAAGGTGGGACGGATGGTGACAGGGACCAGGCT